CCAAGGCAGGTTGCCATGGCAGAGGGGAAACAGTCCGTAGCAGGGCAGGCAGGAAGCAGCAAGCATCAGCCTGCCTTCCTCTTGTTCCTTTTACTCCATCTAGGGTACAAGCCTATCGATTACTCTCAGAGTGGGTCTTCTGTTAACCACACCTTGAACTACACAATGCCCATTTAGTCATTACATGCCCTAATCCAGATCATAAAATCATGACCCAACCTTCCCAAAGACTCCTCTATGAGGACATGAGGCTCTCGGAGGACATCTAGGTACAAGCCAAAGGGCTGGAAATATAGCTCACCAGCACAAGTACCTGCCTGTCAAGTGCAAGATCCTCAGTTTGATTCCTAGAAGAAAAAAAAAAAAAAAAAAAAGACAAGCCCTAACAATAATGAAATATTTTCATATTTTAATACTCTTGTTTTAGTTATTTTTCTTGTTTCTTAGACACAATGCCCAATAGCCAAAGTTAAAGGATGAAAATTTTATTCAGCTCATCCTTAGCAGAGGTTTCAGTCCATAACCCACTGGCTCCAAGGCAGGGTGGCTCACAGCAGAGGGCCAACTGTTCATGGCAGCAGAAGACACCAAAAGTAACAAGAGAGAAAGCGCACAGGGACAAGCCTCTTTGGTCCCTTATGCTCCACACAGGCTGCTGCTCTAGGGCAGGGGTAGCACTCACTGCCTTCATCCCAGTGTTGGACCATGAATCACTCACACTGTATGTCCAGCCACCTGTGAGAAGCCTAGCCTCAGGACTGCACAAGGTTTCAGAAGACGTCCAGACACAACCTAACAGCTCCATGTTACACTTCATGGCAGAGTAACACTCTTCATTTCCACTGACCCCTTGGTAGGTATTTAGGCTAAGTTCATGCCTTGGGTGTTGGGAGCAAGACTGTGATGAACATGTGTGCGCAAAGGTCTTTGAAAGCCTGTTTTGTTTCTTTTCTTTTTAGGGGGGAATTGGGAATTGAACTCAGGACCTTTGTTTCTGTTTTCTTTTCCAATCAGATTTTACTGTAACATTTTAGGTATATCACATTCACCACAGAGAGTTTGTTACCTGTACTTGATATAACTTGTTTCTTTCCCCACTCTCTATCCTATCTCCAACCCCTCCTCCTCTCTCTACTAACAAAAGCTTTATTTCCATTTTTCCTTCTTTTCTCATTTCTTTCCCCCTTTTCTTTCCTCTCCTTCCTTTGCCTCATCCCTGTTTGAATATTTTCTTCCTATTTCACAAAATCTATTATACATTTTGGTCCATATGTATACTTTCAGTTTCTCCACCAGAGAAACGAGGCAGTATTTACACATGTGTGTCCAACTTGTTTCATTAAGAGTATGGTCTCAAGGTGCACCCGTTTACCTAGAAATGGCTCAAGTTTATTCTTTATGGTAGAGTAGTACTCCATTACATAAAATACTCCATACCAAGAAGATCCATTCACCACTTGGTGTGCATATGGGCTGTTTCAAAGACTTGGCTATTGCAAACTATGCCACTATAAAATGGATGTGCATATGTCAATGAGGTATGATGCTTTTAATTTCGAAAGCCAGTTTTAAAATTAAAAAATCCTTTTTTTTTTTTGTATTTTAGGGAAGGGTCTACAGGGTGTCCCGGGTCTCACTACTAGATCAGATTTGTAGTGATCCACCTGTTTTCAGCCTCTCAAGAGCTGGCATTATAGGCATGCTCAATTGTCATCTCAGCGTGCCCCAGGGGTGGGGCAGGCATGGCAGGCATGACAGGCCCTGGGGGATCAAACCCCAGGCCCCTGTGCCTGCTTGCAGGCACTTTAATCCACAAAAGCCAGTTTTTAATCCTATTGAATATAAACTCAAAAAGTGGAATCTAAGTGGGTTATATGGTGGTTGTGTTTTTAGTTTTTTTGAAAAGCCTCACACTGAGTTTGATAGTACTTGGGCATTTCAGTTTCAGCCACCATGACACACTCTGAGAATGCTTCCCATAGCCATCATGAAGCTTAGCAGTGACTTGCTTCTGAAATATGAAAATCATAGAACGAGACCAACATCTGGCCTGGTTTTCTACATATGAAAAGCTGGTTTAAAGACAGGGTTAGCCAGCTGTCGTGGTGCACACCTGTGATCCTAGTACTCTAGGAGGCTGAAGGAGGATCGCAAGTGTGGGCCTGACCAAGCCTCTCTATGTAGCTGGGGATGTTGCTCAGTGCAAAGGTACTTGTTCAGTTCCAAGTACCAGAAAAGGGAGGAAGGGGGCCCACTGCCTTCTGGCATTTTCTGTGATTCCCAATTTCAGACAAATAGTCCTGTAATTCTATACAGTTAGTCAATGTTCAGAGGCCAGAGGGCTTGAAGGCCATTTATTATAGTGCTATTACTGGATTGCTGATATGCGATTTTTTTCCTCCCAGAGTTGGGACAGGGGATTTGATGAATTTAATAAAGAAATTGATTCTGTTCTTTTAACCTCCTCTCAAATTTCAGTTTTTCCATTATACAGACTCTATGTTCTTTCCAGTCCAAAAATAATTGTTCTTGTGGAACCTGAAAACAAACTGGGCCTATGCTGCTGATTAACTTGGCGAGATCTGCTTCTAAAGCCGTAGCTTTGGAGGTTGGCTCCCCACCCCACTGCTTACCTCCTTCAGAACTGCTCCAGAGCCACTGCAAGAAGCCTGGCAAGGCCCCAGCAGCATAGACTCCAAACTAATACATCACATTTTACTCTTAAATAGCTAAATTGTTCAAAATCAAGCCCATCCTGAAAGCAGAAAGATTTGTCACTGTTGGGAACTTCCACTCACTAAATGACAGCAATCATACACAGAGCTATGCACCAGGCATCAGGTTACATCACTCCACTGGGGGTATCACACACATTCCCATTAACTAGATTAGATTTGAGAGCGCGAGTACCTTGTTCATGCAGCACTGAAATCTGAACTGTAGTTCACTAGCAACCAAAACCCAGGCTTTTAAAACTGCACTCAAAATGTGGTGCTGGAGGAAGTGCTGGGCTCCGAAAAGGACTAGATCAGAGCCCTGTAACAGCCACCTACCTAGCTCACAAGGTGAGAGATGCCTCACACAGGGAGGAAATCTAAGTGTGAGCAAAGACACACACTCTTGTTCAAAGATGTGTGCTATAAATTCTGAAGCCAACGGTGGATGTTAGGAAGACAGAAGAAGGAAGAAGGAAAGAAAGGAAGGAAAGAGCCTTAAGGCAGAGAGGGTCAGATAGTAGAAGTCAGACACAAATTCTGGCTCAGTCTCCACTACTAACCAGTGGCCTTAGTTAAGTCCATTTCCTCAAGTAAAAGTGGAGAGATAAACACTCAACAAGCTCTCTGCGTTATTATGTCGCTTTCAAAAGCTTGGGCTGTGCTGTTTTTGTTGTTGGTGTTTTTTTGTGCTGAGTTTTGAGTAATGTGGTGCAATTACACTGTCAGAGGAGTCCCTTGCTGCAACGAAGCTCAGAAAAGCTTCCCAAGGGTTGTTTACCCTCACTGCATTTTCTTAGCCCCGTGGACTCAGGGTAAAGATTATTCCCTGGGGAAACCAATGCAGGCCCAAAGCCATCTCATAAGAACCAAGGGCTCCAAGACTGATGAAAAAGTTACTGAAAAGGCGAAGTGCAGTTTTTAAAACCTAGCTCTCCCTGCCTTTCTGGTTCTTTCTCTTTCCCTGGCTCTTACTCTTCTGATTCGTTGAAGAAAGCACAGAAGCAGCTTGGTAGTGATTCTGACCCACGGAATGTGAGCCCGCAGTCACCCGAAAGGAGCCAAGAGGAAGAAGGCCGCACGGCGAGGAGCAACATGTGCGAATTTGGAGGACCAGGTCAAAGCATCTTCACAAAGTTTTCATTTTATTGCACGAGCAGGGTTCCCTTTCCATGGGCCTTTACGCTATGCTTAGAAATAGTCCAACTTCATCTAAATTAGGAAAGGTTTGGAAAAAATGTGGCAGTTAGGTTGAAATTGCTAATTAGATGTCCAAACCGGTCGATTCGCCTTTCTCGGGAGGACTTCAGGGCTGCACCCGGGCAGAGTAGGCCTCCCCAGAGTTGGTCCTCTGCTAGCTCTCAGGACACTCAGAACGGCGCACACCAGCCTGGCCTGGCCTGTGTCGCTGCCTCAGTTTCCACGCGTGTGCCCCACACCTGGGTGTGCTCCCAGCTTCTCTCATCCTTCACTTCCTGCAGCAGCTGGGGACAAATTCCCACCGCAGTGTCTTTTCTGAGGCCAGAGGGGCTTGGTCAGAGCCTGACCCCAGCTCAGGCTTTGAGGCATAGAGATCCTCTGGTGGGGACAGGGCTTTTGGCCGTCCCCAGACCAAGGACGAGGGTTCCCAGGGACAGGCGGGTACAGCGGGGTTCCTGTCTCTGGTCCCGGCCTAGGGGTCCCACCTGGGGGCCCCACGTCAGGTTCTCCTCTGGGGCCCTACTCCCTGGCCTTCTGCAGGGATGGGCTGGATCCTGGGTGGTAGGCGGTGTAGACTCCGCCGTCCCTCGGACATTGCCCCGCCCCGTGTCCCTCCGCGTCCGGAAAGTAGTCCTGCGCCTGTCCACTCGGCGCAGCCTCCGCGCTGGCCACTCCGCCGCCGCCGTCCGCTCCGCGGCTCCGTGCGCACCGCTGCTCCGCAGCCCGCCCTCCGCCTGCGCCACCGCGCGG